CTTGAGCCACTCCACCAGCCTGTTTTTTTTGTTGGGTATTTTTTTTTTATTATTGTTATCATATTATTGTTGTACTAGGGGTACACTGAGACATCTACGAAAGTTCTTACAATATATCATATTTGAACTCACCTCTATCATTCTTCTGTACCCTCCCCTACCTGTGTTGGGTATTTTGAAATAGGGTCTCCAGAACTATATGCCCAGGCTGGCTTTGAACCAGGGTCCTCCTGAATAGCTAGGATTACAGTTGTGAACCACCAGTGCTAGATTCAACAACTTTAGGGCTTCAGCTTTCCACTTATCTGTGAATCTATCTTCCCCCTTCCAATTCCAGTTCCTTCACTTCCTAAAAAGGTTCTCTAATCCCTGACCTCTCCATCCCCTCCAGCCCTTTCCCAGGTACTTATTTGCATCTCATTAGCATACTAATCCTATCCCTCTCAAAGGTACCCTAACGGCTCTGATTTCTTGCCTGCCTAGACCCCCTGGAGAAGGGAAGTAGGAACAGGGGCCTGCTGGCTGGAAGCTGTTGGGGAAGGACCATTCCAAATCTAGGAATTTAGAGATGAGGGAGAAAGGTGGCCCAAGGTAAAAGAGGACATTCCACCCCCACATACACACACACACCTCCCTGAGGTAGTGTGGCCTGAGTGCTACAAGTTTAGTCATTGGAGATCTACTGGCCCAGTGGGAGAGCATGTAGATTGTACCTAGGACACTGGGAGAAGTAAAGGTTGGAGGAATTGAAGGGGAATTGTTTTAAAACAGTTGGGGGAGGAGAGGGGCTTAAAGTAAAAGGGTTGGGAGCAGACCTGAGTCTTGGCCTTGACAGCCTTAGGCAACCCAGGGTTCCTGATTGCTAGTTCTTTAGAAACTCATTTTGCCTATATTGTGTCCAGCCAGTCCTTTTCTAGTTTCACCAACTTGGAGCCTGGTGATCACCCATAGCTCACTTAACCTCTGTTTCTTAGCTTCCTCATTTATATTAAATGAGATAACTGATAAACATTTAGCACAGTACCAGAACCCTGGTATATGTATTTTAATAGCTATTAGTAACATTATTAATACAACTTACTGTCTTTTATCTGTTTTGGGAGAAGGCAAAATAGGAGCTATTATCTTCAACTGGCCAGGGAAATGCCACCTATTTTGCATGTTCTAACCAGAAATGGATGTGGAAGGCACAGGGAGCAGCATGGTGCCTGCATGCAGGGGAAAGCAGTCCTGGCCCATCTCTGGCAAAAAGACCTTGACTTAGAGAATTTTTAACCTCTGCAGGGTTTGGAATATCTGAAGGTTCTCCCCAGAGTTCACTCATTCAAAAAATGATTATGGCAGGCATTATTCTCTGTGCCACTCATACAGACCTAGATAAAGCAGACTGAGTTCCTGCCCTCATGGAACTTACTTTCTAGGAAGGGATAAGTAAGTGAGGAAATATCAGGTGGTGAAAAAATCTAAAGAAAGTAATCCTGGGGGCTGGCAGAGTGGCACTCTACCACTTGAGCCACTCCCCCAGCCCTACTTTTTTATGTTGGGTTGTTGGTTTTTTTTTTTTTTTTTGTGGTACTGGGGTTTGAACTCAGTGTCTACACAGTGAGCCATTCCACCAGCTATTTTTTGTGATGAGTTTTTTTGGAGGTAGGGTCTCATGAACTATTTGCCTGGGCTGGCTTGGAACCAGGTCTCTGCCACCTGAGTAGCTAGGATTACAGGTGTAAGCCACTGGTGCCTGGCATGTACTGGATATTTTTGGGATAGTGTCTCAAGAACTATTTTGTCAGGGGCTGGCTTTGAACCACAATCATCCTGATCTCTGCCTCCTAAGAAGCTAGGGCTCTCATTGGTGGGTTTTAAGCACAATGTAGTACAGATTTACAAAAAGACAATTATGATGCCTGAGATTTGTTTTAAAACAATATGTGAAAGATGGGAACTGGGGAGGATACAAATGAAACAAAACTAGTCATGAGTTGATGATTGATTGCTGAAGCTGGCTGGTGGGTAAAAAGGGTTTCCTTATACCAGTACATTTTATAAATGTTTGGCATTTTTCATAGTTGAGAATTAAAGATCATTCTGGCTGCTGGAGGGGACTAGGTTGGAGAGGGCAGTAATGGAAATGAGAGCTCAGTGTGGATGCAGTCTATTGAATTAGTTCAGGAAAGAAATGATAATGACTTGCCCATGATGGGGTTAGTGGGAAAAGAGGGTAAGGCAGGGTTTGACTGTGGAACTGGTTATGGGGAAGGACAAAAGAAAACATTTTTTTCTTTTGTTGGGACTGGGATTTGAACTCAGGGTTTCATACTTACAAAGCATGTGCTCTACTGCTTGAGCCACAACTCCAGTTCATTTTGCTCTGGATATTTTGGAGATGGGGGTCTCTCAAACTATTTGCTGGGGCTGGCCTCACCACGATCCTCCTGATCTCAGCCTCCCAAGTAGCTGGGATTACAGCTGTGTGCCATTGGCGCCCAGCAGCCGAGAGAAAGTTTTTAGGCTTTTAGCCTAAGCAACTGACAAATGATACTAACTTTTGAAACAGGCAAGATGGAGAGGAGCTAGTTCGGAGAGAAATAATGAGTTTTGGGACATGTTGATTTTGAAGCCTGTTAGACATGAAGTGAAGCTTCAAGTTGGCATGTGAGTGTCTGAGTCTGCTGCTCAGTGAAGAGGATGGGATTGGAGTACGTAGAGATTCAGTTTGGCTGGGATCCCTAAGACCTCACAGCACTGCAACCTCCATGTCTCCCTGCAGGATACTGGCTGTCACGCTGAAATGAACCCCCAGCACTACTCCGTCTACCATGGCCACTCTTAACTCAGCCTGCACCACTGGCACCATCCCTTCCCCTGGGCACAATGCCCCTTCCCCGCCTCCGGACAGCTCCTCCTCCAGCACCTCTGATATTGTCACCAAAGAGCCCCCTATTGCCCCCTCCACCTCTGAGACCATGAGGCCCTCAGAGCCTCTGGAATCCAGCTGTGGCCTCATTCCACCAAAGGAGATTGGGGAGCCCCAAGAAGAACCTAGTTGTGGTCATTTCCCGCCAAAGGACCTGGGGATAGAGAAGGACAAGGAGGAGGAGGAAGGGCTCCCTCCCATGGACCTAAACAACCACTTATTCTTTACAGCTGGCGGTGTGGCCTATCTAGTGGCCAAGCTGTCCCTGCCAGGCAGCAGTGAACTCCTGTTACCAAAGGGCTTCCCCTGGAATGAGGCGAGCATCAAAGAGCCCAACCTGCCCCTCCTTGCCCGCTCATCCCCCTCACACCTCACTGCCCTTCATATCCAACATGGCTTTGACCCAATCCAAGGCTTTAGCTCTTCTGACCAAATTCTGTCCCATGATACCTCAGTGCCATCTCCGGCTGCCTGTGAGGGAAGGGAAGGAGCCTTCTGGAGCTACCAGCTGGCTCCAAACCCACCCGGAGATCCCAAAGATGGCCCCCTGGGGAGCAGAGGGGAAGACCACAGAGCACTCTTCTGGCTCTGCCTTCTGTGCCGCCTGGGTTTCAGCAGGCCCCAGGCCTTTATGGGCCACACACAGTCTCACGGGGTGAAGTTAACCCCTGCCCAATACCAGGACCTGCCAGGCAACCCAGCTGTACTCCAGGAGGGAGACGAGGACTGTGTGGCCCTCATAAGCTTTCTGGAACCAAAACCCCTTACTCTCCCCGCTCTTAAAATACCCCTTGATAACAGCAGCACAGTGAGCATGGAGGCAAATGTACCCGAGACTGAGGACAGCTCCCCTGAGGCAGAAGTCCAGGCCCTTGTCCTCCCCACTGAAGAAGTCATGGCCCTCAGCCCACATTCCCCACCCACAACCCCAGCCACCTGGGACCCTAGCCCAACCCAAGCCAAAGAATCGCCCATAGCAGCAGGCGAGGCAGGGCCAGATTGGTTCTCTGAGGGGCAAGAAGAGGATGGAGGGCTCTGCCCCCCACTCAACCAAAGCTCACCCACCTCCAAGGAGGGGGGCACTCTCCCTGCTCCAGTGGGCTCCCTTGAAGACCCCAATGACCCACCCCAGCCCTACCGTCTGGCGGATGACTACACCCCAGCCCCTGCAGCCTTCCAGGGCCTCAGCTTATCCAGCCACATGTCCTTGCTACACTCACGCAATTCCTGTAAGACACTCAAGTGTCCCAAGTGCAACTGGCATTACAAGTACCAGCAGACCCTGGATGTGCACATGCGGGAAAAGCACCCTGAGAGCAATAGTCACTGCAGCTACTGTAGTGCTGGGGGAGCCCACCCCCGCCTCGCTCGCGGAGAGAGCTACAACTGTGGCTATAAGCCCTACCGTTGTGATGTCTGCAACTATTCCACCACCACCAAAGGCAACCTCAGCATCCACATGCAGTCTGACAAACACCTGGCCAACCTGCAAGGCTTTCAGGCTGGGCCTGGAGGGCAGGGTAGTCCCCCAGAGGCATCCCTCCCTCCCTCTACAGGGGACAAAGAACCCAAGACCAAATCATCCTGGCAGTGCAAGGTGTGTAGCTATGAGACAAACATCTCCCGCAACCTGCGCATCCATATGACCTCTGAGAAGCACATGCAAAATGTCCTAATGCTGCACCAGGGACTGCCGCTGGGTCTGCCACCTGGGCTGGTAGGGCCAGGACCTCCTCCCCCACCAGGGGCTACCCCTACCAACCCCCCTGAACTCTTTCAGTACTTTGGCCCCCAGGCCCTAGGGCAGCCTCAGACTCCTATGCCCAGCCCTGGGCTGAGGACAGACAAGCCCCTGGAAGCCCAGCTGCTTCTCAATGGTTTCCACCACCTTGGAGCACCTGCCCGCAAGTTCCCCACACCTGGTAAGCTCACTGACATTTGCTTCATCCCCTCTCCCCGGCAACTCCTCCAGGCCAAATTCTACTCCCTGCTTTTCCCCAAAGGCCAGTTCCCCATTTAGGTAACCATAATTCCCTCTGAGCTCTGCCCCCATTCATTATATCCCCTCTCCACAAAGCAAACTGACACTGCCTCTCATTTCTGCCTTGGACACTAATCCTTCTCTGGCCCTTAGCCCCTGGCAGCCTCTCCCCTGAGACTCACCTGCCTCCAAGTCAGCTCCTGGGCTCATCTGACGGCCAGACCACCTCACCACCCCCAGATGACAACACATCCCTGAAGGTGTTTCGCTGCCTAGTGTGCCAAGCCTTTAGCACAGACAGTCTGGAGCTGCTGCTCTACCACTGCAGTGTAGGCCGGAGCCTCCCAGAAGCCGAATGGAAGGAGGTGGCCGGTGACACCCACCGCTGCAAGCTGTGCTGCTACGGCACCCAGCTCAAGGCAAATTTCCAACTCCACCTCAAGACTGACAAACATGCTCAGAAGTACCAGTTGGCAGCCCACCTGCGGGAGGGGGGTGGGGCCATGGGCATTCCCTCCCCACTGTCCCTGGGGGATGGGGCCCCTTATGGTTCTGTCTCCCCCCTGCACCTGCGCTGCAACATCTGTGACTTTGAGTCCAACAGCAAGGAGAAGATGCAGCTGCATGCCCGGGGTTCAGCCCATGAAGAAAACAGCCAGATCTATAAGGTTAGGCTGCCGAAGGAGGAGACAGCAAAGAGGGGAGGGGACAGCAAAGAGGGGAAGAGAAAGAGATGGGGTGGAGAGAGGAGATTCAGAGTAAGGATGTGATGAAAAAACCCAGTGTGACAGAATTGAGGAAAAGGGAAGTATGTACCAGGGTAACAAAACTGTTTGGACAGACCTGGAAAAAGAGACCCCAAAGGATTATAGGTTCTGACAAAGTGAAACAAGACTTTATTCATCTCTTCTGGTGTTTGGGCTGGAAGGATGGATTCATGTTAGCTCAGTCCATCAAGTCATTTGGCAGTTCAGAGAATAGAACCAGATTCCATCTACATACTAGGAGAGGGTCCAAGATTGGTAGGAGACAAATTAGGAGAACAAGCAGTGATAGTCAGGTGACCAGTGAGGGAAAGGGAGGGGGCTCCAAGGGGTGGAAGGGCTGGGTAGGGAGGGAGATGCTGTTAGTCAGGCTCCCTTCGGGGAGGAAAAGTCCCCTGAGATCTGGTGTCCTTCCTGGGCCTTAGCCAGTTTCTTCCCATGGTTCTAGTTTCTGCTGGAAATGGAGGGAGCAGAGGCAGGAGCAGAGCTGGGGCTCTACCGCTGCCTGTTGTGTACCTGGGAGACACCGTCCCGCTTCGCTGTGCTGCAACACCTGCGTGCACCTGCCCACCGTGATGCCCAAGCCCAGAGGCGTCTGCAGCTGCTACAGAATGGTCCAACCACCGAGGAAGGACTCTTAGCGCTTCAGAGCATTCTGAGCTTCAGCCATGGGCAGCTCCGGACTCCTGGTGAGGAAGAGGGGACAGGAAAATAAGGACTTGGTAGGAGGGCAACAGGCTGCAGGGAACTGATGAGAAAGTGACACAAGAAGGAGAAAAGGGTCTGTGGGCCATCTATAGGAAGTAGAAAGAAGCTGTGAAGGGAAGAGAAGACAGGTTGGAGGCTCCAGGAACATAGGGGCTGCCCAGCAAGGAGGAAAAAAGAGGCTGCTGGAGGACAGAGAAGGGCAGGGACTTTACTGGGTGGAGAACAGAATAAGAAGGAAGGTAAAGATGAATCACCTGTTGATTCTGAGTAGTGACTAGAATCACTACTCAGTGGCTCCCCTGGGTGTTGGGGGTGGCAGGCTGGAATTTGTCAGGAAGGAAAGAGAATGTAGCAAAAAGAAAATAGAACCTGATTCATGCTGGACCAGGACTTACTGGAAGAAAATGGGAGCCGTGGGCATGATCTAGAGGCAGCAGGGATGGGAAGAGGCCTGACAAGCTTCCCAGCCTCTTCTGTCTCCTAGGAGGTCTTCAGCCCTAAGGCTGGGCTTAGAGTCCCCCTTAGGCAGCTGAGGTTGTACTAGCAGAGGCCGGGAACAGCCAGCCAGGCGCCATTGATCCAGAGGGTACAGGAGAAGAGCCTGGAAGGGGCTGTCAGAGGTGGGCATGGACAACCGGGCTTTGGAGAGGCCAGCAGTGGGCGAGGGTGAGGGCATGGGCAGCAGGAACCAGGAACAGGCAGCACTGACTGGTGCTAATTGAATTGCCAATATGCTGGCTGGAGTTAAGTGCTGGAGGGGCCCAGATCAATAGCTAACGATCCTGGCGCAGGGCTGAATGGAGTTAAGGAACTTTAACACTTTAATTAGGCTGCCACCGAAAATAAATTCCTACACATCTGTCAATTCTTACTTGAGTGGTAATCTCCTCTCACTGCTAGACCTGCCGCCTCCTGCTCACTACAACCACCACTTCCATTCAACCTCAGCTGCCTTCTTCAGTGCCCTTCCCACTACATTTTTGGGGCTCTCTGCTTCCAGGGTCAGTTAAGACAGGCAGCCAGTTTAGTCCAGTTTCTATTATTTACTACTGGACTTGTTCCTTTAAAAGGACAAGGGACCAGACTCACATAGATGATCTCTTGAGCCCTACTAGTTCGAATAATTAAATATTTAGTTCTAATAATTAAATATTTCTTTTCGGTGGCTTTTTGTCCTCTCCTGCCTTGTGATTCACCTGTCCACTTTCTTCGTTGACTGGCTGCTTGTCCTGCTTCCTCTGCTCTTATGTCCTCCCTTCCCTGATGTTTCACCTCGTTAAGCTGACTCTCCATCCTACACAGGGAAGGCTCCTGTTAACCCCTTAGCTGAGACACCTACCCCTGAGAAAGATGCCCAGAACAAGACAGAACAACTGGGTGAGTTGCTCCTCTGATCCATTTACCTTCTCCTCCCCTCAGTTCTCTTGGATATATTCTTGGATGTTCACAGGCCTGGCCTTGCAGAAATTCAAACACCCAGAAATTTCCTGAAGGAGCAAAATTGATCAAAGAAAGAGCTCATGAAGGGGACAGGAGGCCAAGCCACAGGAGCTTAAGCATTTCTGCCCTTTTTGAGGACTCAAACCTGGCCATCCTGCTAACTTGGAGTTGGCTTCTGCTGAGCCTCACCTGACCAGAGTTTCTAGTCCATTCCCCCATTCTCTCGAGTCTACCCCTACCTTGAAAGCACTCAGCTACAAATCATCTTAAGAGTTGGTGGGTGGGAGAGGCTTTGAAAGGGAGGAGGGCTGAGTCTCCTAATCTCCTCTCCTCTCACCCCCAGCTTCTGAAGAGGCAGAAAACAGGACTGACCCTTCCAGAGACAGTGCCAACCAGACCACGGTCAGAACTGGGGTAACTGGGACGAGCAGAGGCGGGTGTCTGGCTTTACTGAGATCAGCTTGCACTTTAAAGGCTTTTATCAAGCTTATGGTTTATTCCACTCAGAATACCACATGTGAAAAATCCCATCCAGAGTCAGTTACATATGTTCAGCACATAAAGAGTAGAACTGGCCCTGAGGGGTAAACATAGCAGGAGATGACAGGAAGGGATGGCAAGAATTTGAGGAAAGGTGAAGACAGAAACTATATCAAGGGGAGGACAGACTGAAGGTAGATGGAATAAGGAAGGGAGGAAAGAGTGAAGAAATGAAAGACAGAACTGTTCTGGTACCTCCTTCTTGAAGATAGAGGCACCAAGCAAATGACTCATCCTGACAGGAAGACCCACAAACCTATAAATCCCTAGGACTTAGACCTAGTGGACCAGGGAGTGGTTTGGCTTTGTACCGTGAAGTGTTGATTGTGAGTGGATTCTCAGCCCCTGGTCTTGAGATGCCATCCTGGGCCTCACAGCTTTCCAGATGCACTGCAATATGCAGTGGTGTCCCTGTCATCAGGTTCTCTTCCTCCTAACTCTTGTTCCCTCTAGCCAGTCTGTTACTAGTGTCTGTTCTAAGGACTGGGTACAGTAGAATGAATTCCTAGATTGCCTTTCTTGATGGCCATCATTGCCCTGACACACAGGCCTAGGCCAGTGTCAGGTGACAGAAGAGGAAGTAAGCCAAACTTGATCTGAGATGGCAAGCAAAATGCAGGCTGGACAGTTCAGGCAGTCAGATAACAACGGGCCTCTTGTGGCTCCACCCCTCTGGAGGTGTGGGCAAGGATGTGCTGAGGGCTAGGCCGAATTTTCCTGGGCCACTGAGGGAGCTGTGGTGTTTAAATTAAGAAGAGGATTAAAAAGGAAAAGAAAGCGGCAGCAGCTGAGCCCGAAGGAGAACGAGCTGGCTTCTGAACAGAAAAGGTAGGGCCCTCTGCCATGTTCAAGAACCTTAGGGAGGCAGAGTGGGTAAGGACAAGGGGCCTCTGGCACCCAGGAGAAATGGAGGAACTTCACAGGGAAGACAGGCAGGATAGGCATAAATCTGGGGTAGAGGTAAGTACAGGGCCACCTGCCAGCTGGAGAATTGAGAAGGGGAGCAGAGACAGGAAAGGATGGAGGGAGAGACAAAAGGCAGGCAAGGCAGCAGCCTAAGTTAGGCCTTTGTCCCAGTCCATTGGAGAGCCAGCTTTTAGGACTGGGGCTAGAGGCTGGATGGGTTGAGATGCAGTCTTACCTGGCTTGCTCCTCCTAAATCAGTAGTTGGGGAAGTGCTGTGCTGAGGAATCCAAATGATTATTTGATGGTGGGTCCCCCTCCCTGACATCTTCCCCACCGCCCATATATTGCTCCCCAGGTATACTGCTGTCCATACTGCAGCTTCCTGAGCCCAGAATCTGACCAGGTGAAGACTCATACACTCTCCCAGCATGCTGTGCAGCCAAAATACAGGTGCCCACTGTGCCAGGAGCAGCTGGTAGGCCGGCCTGCCCTGCACTTCCACCTCAGCCACCTTCACAACGTGGTGCCCGAGTGTGTTGAGAAGCTGCTGCTTGTGGTGAGTACAGCCTGGGTGAGGAAGGTCCAGCAAGGCCCTGTCAGGGCCATGCAGGAGGGGAGGAAGAAATAAGGGCATTCAGACTAGAATATGTGCAGGCCATGGAGAATGTTGAAGAAAAGTAGCGTTTCAGACATTTGAAGTAGGATTTTAGAGTTGGGAGGATGCTCAGCACTGAGCTTGTCATAGCCACCTCAAATCCTGGATGAAACAACTATGCATTTCTCTCACTTCCATTAAATCCTGAGAGTTGTTTAACAGCAGGCACAGGCTTGCCAGGTGCCAAGGCCAGGGGGCCTTGGGATAAGATGACTTTCAGCCTAGAGAAGGAGGAAGCCAGCTGCCAGGCTCTCACTTTCATCTGTAGGAAAAACAACAGTTTGGTTGGAGATTGGTCCAGAAAGGAGGCTGGTTCCAAGGGACGGGAACTAGGCACAGGTATAGGTGCTGAGGAGATATGTCAGGAACAGCGCGAGGGGGCAGTGGATGGTGGTGAAGCTACTAGGATTTCTCACATTACAGGCCACAACTGTAGAGATGACCTTTATGACCAAAGTGCTGCCTGAGCCCACACTAAGCCTTTTGGAGGATGGCCCAGAACCCCCGACTCCTGGGCCAGAGCCTGCTCTCAGCAAAGACCAAGCAGCAGGTAAGGAAGGGGATAACACACCTCCCAAGGTGGCAGATAAGGGGACCTTGTCTCCGTGGACCAAGAAGGGCTGAAGATAACTAAAGCTAGGGTCAGTCATCCTGGATATTAAGTGGGTGGAGGCTGGCTTAAATACAATTCCCTGATCATTGCACCTTTTCTTTCCTTTTGTGCGGCATAGGATTTGAACTCAGGGCCTACACCTTGAGCCACTCCACCAGCCCTGTTTTGTGGTGGGTTTTTTTTGAGTTAGGTGCTCGCGAAATATTTGCCAGGGCTGGCTTTGAACCACAGTCCTTCAGATCTCTGCCTCCTGAATAGCTAGAATAACAGGCATGAGCCATCAGTGCCCAGCAACTACAAAATTCCCTCAGTTCTTTTTTGGTGATACTGGGGTTTGAACTCAGGGCCTTGCACTTGCTAGGCAGGCATTCTACCACTTAAGGCACTCAGCCAGCTCAATACATCCTCTTCTCTCTCCTGTAGAAGGCCCTAACCTGACCTCAGAAGCCAGCCCAGATCCTCTTTCTGAGCCTCTCCTGGTCCCAGTTGAGGCCCCAGACAAGCCCTCGGGAAGCCCTGATCAACCATCTTCTCCAGCCTTATCTCCAGGCCCTCGGCCTGACACCCAAACTGAAGAAGTGGCTCCTCCAACCACTGTAGCTGGAGAAGAAGAGGGGACCATGGGGGAGCCCCGCTCTGCAGAGCCAACCCCAGCTGACTCTCGCCACCCTCTGACCTATCGGAAAACCACCAACTTTGCCCTGGACAAGTTTCTTGACCCTGCTAGGCCCTATAAGTGCACTATATGTAAGGAGTCATTCACCCAGAAGAATATCCTCTTAGTTCATTATAATTCTGTCTCCCACCTTCATAAGATGAAGAAGGCTGCCATTGATCCCTCTGGCCCTGCCCGGGGAGAGGCTGGTGTCCCACCCACTGCCACTGCTGCCACAGACAAGCCCTTCAAATGCACAGTCTGTCGAGTTTCCTACAACCAGAGCTCCACCTTAGAGATTCACATGCGGTCAGTTCTGCATCAGACTCGCTCACGGGGGGCTAAGACCGATGCCAAGGCTGATGGCCCAGAGCGCAGCCAAGAAGAGCCCAAGGAAGGCGAGACTGAGGGGGAGGTGGGCACTGAGAAGAAGGTCCCCGAACCCAGTGGCTTCATATCTGGACTACCCTTCCTATCCCCACCTCCACCTTCCTTGGACCTGCACCGATTCCCAGCCCCCCTCTTTACCCCACCAGTCCTGCCCCCATTCCCTCTGGTGCCCGAATCACTGCTTAAGCTCCAGCAGCAGCAACTGCTCCTGCCCTTCTACCTACATGACCTCAAGGTGGGGCCCAAGGTGGCACTGGCTGGGCCTGCACCCATGCTGTCCCTGCCAACTGCCACACCGCCTCCCCTACCTCCAGCCCCCAAGACTGAGCTGGTTGGGCGAGAATGGGAGCGGCCCCCCATGGCCGAGGAGGGGAATGATGCAGGGCCCTCCTCACCACCCCACCCATCACCAAACGAGGCCGCCCGCACAGCAGCTAAAGCTCTCCTAGAAAACTTTGGCTTTGAACTGGTGATTCAGTACAATGAAGGGAAACAAGCTGTACCCCCTCCTCCAACACCCCCTCCCCTAGAGGCCTTGGGGGGTGGGGACAAACTGTCCTGTGGGGCCTGTGGGAAACTCTTCTCCAATATGCTTATCCTCAAGACACATGAGGAGCATGTTCACCGCCGCTTTCTGCCCTTTGAGGCTCTGAGCCGTTATGCTGCTCAGTTTCGCAAGAGCTATGACAGCCTATACCCACCCCCCGTGGAGCCCCCCAAGCCTCCTGATCGGTCTCTGGAGTCACCTGCTCCACAGATAGGCCCATCTTTCTTGGTCCCAGAGCCTGAAGCAGGGGGAACCCATACCCCTGAGGAGCGAAGCCGGGCAGGAGGACACTGGCCCCCAGAGGAGGAAGAGAGCTCCAGAGGGAATCTTCCTTCTCTAGTGCCTACAGGCCGAAGGTTCTCCAGAACCAAGTTCACAGAATTCCAGACCCAGGCCCTGCAGTCTTTCTTTGAGACCAGTGCCTACCCCAAGGATGGAGAGGTGGAACGGCTTGCAAGTCTCTTGGGTCTAGCTAGCCGTGTGGTGGTAGTGTGGTTCCAGAATGCCCGCCAGAAAGCACGAAAAAATGCCTGCGAGGGTGGGCCTGTGCCAACGGGAGGAGGTGCTGGGGGAGCCTCTGGCTGTAGACGCTGCCATGCTACCTTCTCCTGTGTTTTTGAGTTGGTGCGGCACCTCAAGAAGTGTTATGATGACCAGACCCCTGAAGAGGAAGAAGAAGAAGCAGAGAGAGGGGAAGAAGAAGAAGAGGTGGAAGACGAAGAAGTAGAGGAAGAACAGAGCTTAGAACTCCCAGGACCTGAAGGCCCATCACCAGAACCTCCAGATGTGGAGGACCTGGGCCAAGCAGAAACAACAAAGCCAGGAGGCAAAGAGCCTGAAGGAAAGGCTCTACCCTCGCCTCCCCCAGCCCACACATGTGACCAGTGTGCCATTTCTTTCCCCAGCCAGGACCTCCTGACTAGTCACCGTGGACTTCATTTCCTGTCATCTGTACAGCCCACTGCTCCTCACCAACTCCTAGATCTGCCCTTGCTGGTGTTTGGTGAGCGAAACTCTCTGGTGACAGGCACTCCACCAGTGCCAGGGCCACCCCTCAAACGGAAGCATGAGGATGGCAGCCTATCCCCCACAGGCAGTGAAACAGGGGGTGGAGGGGAGGGTGAGCCCCCCCGTGACAAGCGCCTTCGCACTACTATCCTGCCTGAGCAGCTGGAAATCCTATACCGTTGGTACATGCAGGACTCCAACCCAACACGCAAGATGCTTGACTGCATCTCTGAGGAGGTGGGGCTCAAAAAGCGAGTAGTACAAGTCTGGTTCCAGAATACCAGAGCCCGGGAGAGGAAAGGCCAATTTCGAAGCACTCCTGGAAGTATGGCCAGTCCCACAGTCAAACCCACTTCTACACCCACCCCTGCACCCTTCCCCAAGTTCAACCTCCTATTGGGCAAAATAGATGATGGGACTGGGAGGGAGATCCCCAAGAGGGAAGCAGCTGCTTTTCCCTACCCTGCAGTCACCCCTGCTACTGGCTCTCTACCTTTCCTACCACCTGGGAAAGAGGCCACCACACCAACACCAGAGCCACCTCTACCTCTCCCACTGCCCAGTGAGGATGAGGGCCCTGAGGAGCCACCTAAAGCTTCTCCAGAGTGTGAGGCTTGCAGTCCATCTGCAGGAGACCTAAGTGATTCATCTGCTTCCAGCTTGGTTGAACCAGAGTCGCCAGGGGCTGGAGGGACAAATGGGGGAGCAGGAGGTGGGACTGGGGTTCCAGATGGAATGGGGCAGAGGCGCTACAGGACCCAGATGAGCAGCCTGCAACTGAAGATCATGAAAGCCTGCTATGAAGCCTATCGCACTCCCACCATGCAAGAGTGCGAGGTGCTGGGGGAAGAAATTGGACTGCCTAAGAGAGTCATTCAGGTCTGGTTCCAGAATGCTCGAGCCAAGGAAAAGAAGGCCAAACTGCAGGGAGCAGCCCTTGCAGGTAGTGGGGGCAGCAATGAGGGCCCCTTGGCAGCCCAGCGCACTGACTGCCCCTACTGTGATGTCAAGTATGATTTCTATGTCTCCTGTCGAGGCCATCTTTTTTCCCGCCAACATCTGGCCAAGCTCAAGGAGGCAGTCCGTGCCCAGCTGAAGAGTGAAAGCAAATGCTATGACTTGGCTCCAGCACCAGAGGCACCACCGGCTCCCAAGGCTCCACCTGCCACACCTGCTTCTGTGTCTCTTGGAGCTGCACCAACCCTGCCTCGCCTGGCCCCAGTCCTTTTGTCTGGAACAGCTCTGGCGCAGCCACCACTCAGTGGCTTAGCTTCTTTCAATTCAGGTGAGCTAGGGAGGTTGGGAGAAGCTGGACTTCAGAGAACATCCCCTCTAATAGTTTGTCTTTCCTTTTCCTTCTTTAGTCTTCCCACATTATCTCCTCCTGTGGCCTCCCTTGCTTCAGGCTCTTAGGGAAAGGAAGGAAGGGCACATAGAAGCTGGGCAGAGGGAAGGTTGAGTGTGTGACAGAAGTGGTCTGTAGCAGGAAGGTCACTTGGGAGCAGGAGATGGCTAATCCTTCATCACTCCTTTTATCTTCCTAGGTCCTGCAGCCACCTCAGGCCTCCTTGGTCTTGCCACTTCAGTTCTGCCTACTACCACAGTGGTCCAGACTACTGGTCCAGGCTGCCCCTTACCTCAGAGACCTGTGCCTGATGAAACCAACACCTCCACAGCAGGCACCACTGTCCCTGTCTCAGGCCCAGCTTCAGAGCCCTCGGGGGACAAGGTCTCTGGTGAGCGAAAGCCAATTGTAGCCCCTACCAACTCCTCCACTGATGCCCTCAAGAACCTCAAAGCATTGAAGGCCACTGTCCCAGCCCTGTTGGGGGGCCAGTTCCTGCCCTTTCCATTGCCTCCTGCAGGGGGAGCAGCACCACCAGCTGTCTTTGGCCCCCAGTTACAGGGGGCCTACTTCCAACAGCTCTATGGCATGAAGAAGGGGCTATTTCCCATGAACCCCGTGATACCTCAGACCCTCATTGGATTGCTCCCCAATTCCCTGCTCCAGCCACTGCCCCAGCCACTGGAACCCATGGCCACAGCACCTCCAAAGCCTCCTGAACTGCCCCCACCAGGGGAGGGGGAAACTGGTGAGGCTGATGAGCTGCTGACAGGCAGCACTGGCATCTCCACTGTGGATGTGACTCACCGCTACCTGTGCAGCCAGTGCAAGATGGCATTTGACGCAGAGGCTCCAGCTGCTGCCCACCAGAGAGCCTTCTGCTTCTTTGGGAGGGGATCTGGGGGCTCCATGCCCCCCCCAGTGCGGGTGCCCATCTGCACCTACCACTGCCTGGCATGTGAGGTGCTGCTGAGTGGGCGTGAAGCCCTGGCCTCCCACTTGCGCTCCTCGGCCCACAGGCGCAAAGCGGCCCCACCCCCAGGGGCCTCACCCATCACTGTCACCAACGCCACCACTGCTGCCACGGCTGCTGTGGCTTTTGCCAAAGAGGAAGCAAGATTACCTCACACGGACTCCAACCCAAAAACTACTACTACCTCTACACTTCTAGCTTTATAAACAGATAAACCAAGATGGGGAGAGGGGAGGGCCTCAGGGCTCCCTCATACCCCCAGGGGTGTCTGGTGGGAGCTCAGATCCCTCACCCCAACCTTTTGGCTCTGCCCACCTCATGGGAATCTTTTAATTCCCACCCTCAGTGGGCTTCACATACCCCACCTCCAGCAGAGTCCTGCCTCTTCCCCACCCCACAGACACTCTTTTCCTCATCTGAAGCTCCTTGCAGATGTAGCCCTTGGCATCCTAATTATTCATTCATGTCTGCCTACCACAGAAAAAAATCTGCCCTTTGTTCCCTTTTCCTTTCCTCCATGAATCCCCAGTCCTTCCCCCATAAACACACCACACAATTATGCTGTGTTATTCCACTGACTGAGAAAACACCAAAAAAAAAAAAAAAGAAAAGAAAAATAAGAGAAAAGAAAACCCAAGACAAAAAGGGGGATAGAAAATAAACTGCCACTTCCCCTTCTTCCTATCCCCTTGTCTAGAGCACCATACTGCTCACAAACTTTCCAAAAACCCAGTCGGCTCTTAAGGTTGGAGCCTGGGATGGGCAGGGAGCCCACAAAACTAACCAAACCAGAGGCTGGCAGAGGGAGAATTTCACTCTCCCACACGTCTCCTTCCTAACCCTCAACTGACAGGAGGCCCCGTGGCCTGGACTCCAGGGGAAGCCGCCACCAGGAGGAAACCCCTCTGCCAACACCCATCCAGCACCCTGGGAATTGCAGTAACTTATTCTCAAAGGCTTTAAACACAGAGATCCTCTCAGCAGCCATGAGCCTGCCCCTTGTCTAGCCCTGCCAACGGGGAGGTTCAGCCTCCAGGGACCGGCGCTGCCCACCATGGAAAACCCAAAGTTTTGAAAAAACTGAAACACACACACACACCAAAAAATGAGAGCAAGAAAGAGAGAGTGTGTGCACATGCACATGAAAGAGAGATGGAGAGACCAGAGGAATGAGCTGAAGAAAAACATAAACTTGGAAAATACAGAAAAAAAAAAAAAAAAGAAAACTCCCATCAAACAAGTGGGTTTTGTTTTGTTTTGTTTTTTCCTATTTGTGTCATCCCCTTCCTCATTTTAAGTTACTTTAAACCTCCTTGGCTCTGGAAGACCAGATGTCTTTAACTCCTTGCTGGGGGTCTGGAGAACCTCACAGGACTGGAAGCGGTGCAGCCCTTCCCCTAGCTGTGCCCAGAGGCAGGGCTGGTAATGCTGAAAAGAGCCTGAACTCTGAGGGGAGACATGTCCTTGTCCCTTGAGTTGAGTATTTATCAAAACAAGTAATATCCCCTCATTCTCAGCTGTCAGAAGTCAGTGTTGCCCAAAGTATCTTAGCAGTCTCAAGAAGAAATGGGTAGAGGGGCAGTTTTGTTTTTGAAATCAAGGTATGCATCCCTTTCACCTACCATCATATCTTCTCATTTACTTTTCCCACAAACCTACTTTTTTCCTCCCTTGTGGCCCTGTTGCATTTCTGGACCCTTCTTGAACCTCCTTTCCTTTGCAGAGTCCCTTGTTCCCCAACTGCTTTTCCTCTCCCTTATCCTCTGTCCTTACTCCTGTTCCCTCCAGTCCACCAGCCTCTTCATTAAGCAGCAGCTGCTGGAGGGAGCCCCAAGAAGAGGACCTGTCTGTGAGGCCAGAAGGGATAGGTAGGAAAGAGGATGACTGAAGCACAAGGTGAACCTTTGATAGGTGCTCTTACCAGGGGAGACAACAGAAGAGGCATACCCTCACTGCCTCAGTAACCATTAGGGGATAATTTTGGCAACTTCAAAATCCAGCAAAAGTGGCACAGGGTAGATTAGTAGGTGTTTTATTTCATGAAGAGAAACCTGCAAAATTTCCCATGTCCTCCAGATATTTTGTTCTACTCCCCTATCCTTGAGATTTCTCTCCTCAGACTGCTTCCACTACTGCTATCCATTTAATGCTCACACACAAGTCAGCAAGCCCTGGGACTTAGGCTTTCCAGTCTCTCAGTCAGCTGCTCTGTGAACTTATTAATACTGAAGCAGTGGCTTATGTGCAGAAAAGGGAGAAGGGGGAGAAAAAATTCAGTTCAGTCCCTAGTCCCCACATACTCTGTGAATTTCACTTCCTGCCCTATTCATTTTGAAAATTAAAAACTCCCAACTCCAGCCAATTGTGGGCAGGATAGAACTAGTTACTCTGTTGATACCAAAAATGCCAGTTACAAATGTAGGCAATGGGAGGGAAAATGACCCACTAGTCTGGCGCTTGCTGCCACCCTTCTTTTCCTGCCTCTCAGCATCTCTCTTGCACCCCTCCCTCCCTGTCCTTTTCTCTCTCCTGTTGAAATTCTATGTATAAAACTATTTTCTTAGTAGCATGTGTATGAGGAAAGAAGCTTTTTCCATTTTGTGCTTTCTGGGAATGTGACTTGTGTATAAAAGTTGAAAACAAAACAAAAAAATGAGAAAAAGAAACATTTTAAAGAAAACCTTGGCAAACATCTGGTATGAGATGATTAGAGAGCTAGTGTCATACATTTTAGGAACTTAGATCCAGGACAGGTTCGCTTTAGCTTGAACTATGAATGTTTTCATCAAGAGTTAACATAGTCAGAAATCCCTCCTCCTCCTCATGCCTTCTAACACCTAACACCCAAATACCCACCCAAAAACTATTGTATACTCACAATAGTAGATAGGAACTGACTGAGCAACTGTACTTACCCAGAATTTTGGGAGCAAAAAAGCCTGACTAACTCTTCTGAAAGGTTAGTCAACATGCTTTTTGGGGGTATACCATTCCACATTTCCAGTGGCTAGAAGCATTCTTCCCCAAACCCTTTCTTACAGCAGATGTCCTTAGCAGTAGCACTACTGTTTCAGAGAGCAATGCATGATGGTGGTTGTAGAGGACAGAAAGCAAAGTCAGCACAGCCTTATGCAAAATGCTACAGTGACTGCCAAGTCACCAGGATCCTATGGAGTAACAGACTGAAGTCAAGCACCTGGCAGAGCAACACCTAGAAGTACCCACTAACACACACCCCATCTATAAAGTAAGCCTGAATAAATGGCTTAAAAGATTAGTCTCCATGGCTTGGGACAAAGTACTAGGGTTTCTAACATACATGGTCCTAAAAAAGCACCCAAGTTTAGGTCCCTATTTATTGCTAGGGTCATTACTAGGAGGCAGGAGGTATAAATGATCTTATAGGTCTTTGCTGTAAACCAGAACCTGTGTGAGGATGTCTTAAGGTGCTGAATTCTCAACTAGGAACATAACAAAATCTGAAAGAACATAAGAAAATCTGAAGCCTTATTGACTGAATGGGGCACTGGGGGACCACAGAAAGTAACCTGTTCTTACCCCCCCCCTTTATCCCTGACATGTACTTACAAAAGCATGTATAAAAACCAAAAAAGCCAATTATTCCAGGCATAATAGTACCCACCTGCTGTATTTGTTCCCTATTCACTTTGGGGACTTTCAGACCCAGATCACTGTTTCCCTAAATCTCCACCACTCTGATCTATATTAAGGCATTTGCTCATCCAATCATTCACCCCTACAACAATATTAAGACCTAAAACACAAAAGTTATGTGTATATAACTGCGCCAGCAGAAAAAGCAAGCCCACCTTTAGAAAAAGCAGCAGACCCATGCCAAGAGGTATTTATATCTACAGGGATACAAACAAATGCCAGCAAGGATGGCACTCCTTAGGCATATACATGGAACAAGGAACATGCCCCAAGACCGTAACTTTTACTCCTGTAAGCAGAAACACTCTTTAATACATGCTAATTTTCCTCACATAAAAATAGGTAAGGGGCTGGAGGTATGACTCAAGGGGTATAGAGCCTTTATAGTAAGGATGAAGCCCTGAGTTCAAACCCCAGTACCACCAAAAAAAAAAAAATGACGATGAAGAAGGAGGAGAAGGAGAAAAAGAACAAGTAAAATGTCATCAGTATCAGTTAATGCTGAAGATTAACTTGTGGGGAAAGGGATTTAAATGACTAGATTCCAGGGAGGGGAGAGGTAGAAATCAGGAGGAAACTTTTGATAAAACTCTTCTATCACTCTGAAACTTGGTAAACTGGGGTGGCACCCTATGTTACAAGAAAAGACTGATTTGGTGCGGGGGGCGTATCTCTCAGAAATGAGTAAGCATGAAGGAGTCATTTCTGGAGGATTGATTTAGGAAGTAATTCCCTAGTACTAAGAAAGTGTTGCTACAAAAAAGAAGGGCAGTTTATGCAGCATCAGGGTCTATGGGATTACAGGTTGGATACAATATAAAGAGATGAAAGAAAATTTGAGAAACCAGAGGCCAGTGATTCACACCTGTAATCCTAGCTACTTGAGAGGCTGAGATCAGGAGAATCACAGTTCAAAGCCATCCTGGACATAGTTCACAAGACACCATCTCTAAAATAACCAGAGCAAAATGGACTGGAGGTGTGTGGGTCAAGCAGTAGAGTGCCTGCTTTGTGAGCACCTGCTTTGCAAGTGCAAAACCCTGAGTTCAAACTCCAGTTCCAGTACATAAATAAATAAATATTTTAAGAGTGTACATATGTAGAAGACACTCCATCGAGTTTGGGGAATATGAGAATATGAGAATAATCCTAAGAGACTTGTCACTGGGTGACAAAACTAGGTGACTCAATCGTGTGACCACCCAGTGACTCTCTCTCATACAGACTAACCATCCAGTCCTCCAGTCAAAGTATAGAAATGTAGTAAATGTCATTTCCCCATCAGTAGTCTGAGTCCTGGTGTTTCTTTCAACAGCCTCAGAGGTGTCTGGATAGAAGCTAGTGGAGAAGCAGGCTAAGTAATTATAGTTGGAACAGAAAGAAGCTGAGCCTGTCTAAGGAGGGAGACAAGTCATACAGCCTTACCTAACTGTATGCAAGTCTTACCCAATGGCTAAAACACAGAAATGAATAATTGGCTGGGGCTCAGCATTGCCCCACATCTAGTCCTCCCCTCATATCACTCTGCATCATGTCTTCTCAATTGTACTTGAAGAATGCTCACAATGGG